CGCTTCTCTAGTATCCGTCTCATCTGGATTCCCGGAGCTCGCCCACTTGAAAAATAGTGCTAGCATTGTGGCCATAGAAATAGATAGATAACCTATCTATTAGGTTAGGTTATCTATTTAGGTTATCTATCTATTTCTATGATTGTGGCAGTGGTATATTGAGTGTGCGAAAGAGGGCGCTGCATGCAGTTTGGAAGAGTTGCCTTGCTCTCTACTTGACAACGTTATATAATAATTATATATATCAGTTAATATATATCAATTATTGATATATATTATACATGATGTATAATATCAAGAGCGTATATACTTAATACGCTCTTGATAATATCAGAAGTGTATAATATAAATACACTCCTGATAATATAATATAGTTCTATTCAATTTCCACTGAGCTGTATATAAATTATAACGTTATTATATAGGTTTACGTACAGCTCAGGCATATATTCACGTCTTGTCTCTCTCTCTCTGCGTATACCGAGCTTCTCCACTTATAAGCCGCACCGATGCATTAGGCCCACAGCAAATGTGAAATATTAGAATCTATAAAGTGTAGCACCACTGCCAAGTATTGATGGAATTCGCCATCGGGTGGCAGCCGTAGACAGCAAGCCTGAAATCAGCACTAGCTGTCACACTTTAAAAATAAAAAATACGCTGTGGCTATATGCCCGGCAGCCGGGGAGTCTTCGATTTCCTAAATGCCCGGCAGTTCCTAACCCTAACCCTTGTTTGTCTTGAGATAACGCTGAAAATTAAAAACTGTCGGGCATTTAGGAAATCGAAGACCGTTCCCGGCAGCCGTCAGATATATGCCGGCTGCCGGGCATATAGCCACATAGTCCGAGCCGACGCAGACCCCAGTAATGGTACCCGCGTAATTGATAAACCCGCACCCTCAGATTAGCAAAGCGGAGTTATAACGTCTGCATTTGCGGACTAATAGCCACACTGTAAAAAATACTTGAAGGTTTCAGTGCGTACGCAACATACACGTTACTCATTCTAAATGACTACTGATTCAAAATCTAAACTACAGTCGATACTTTTGCAGCATCCATGCCTCCATCGGCATCCATCCATCCATCTATCTATCTATCTATCTGTGACGTAGTGTCTTACACCTGTGTTATTTTGCAGTTCTGTATCTTGTATCTGTAGCTCACTGCCGAGCAAAAGTCATTCGGGTATAATGTATCATATGTAACTGAGAAAAACATAAAGAGATACAAACAGCAAGAGACAGTAGGAAAGTTTATACCGAAGTTTGGGCGAAGCAATTAATGTGAAAGTAGCAAGAAAATATAACCGGTGACGGGAAGAGGTCTTGGATCTTCTTGACTTCAAATCTAGGTCCCCGCGGGCATAACTGTCATCGGCGGATTTAATGGGGTGGGGTGACCAGGCTCAGGCCCACACCTTACTGAGCAAAAAGGAGAGGACCGATAAGAGAGTGGGGGAAGGAGAGAACGCGAAAGCGAGCGAGAGAGAGAGAGAGAGAGAGAGAAAGAGAGAGAGACAGACAGACAGACATGCACGCAGACAGACAGACAGAGAGAGAGAGGGAAAGCAATTTATATCTATATCAGGGGTAAATAATTATGAATTATTGCAAGGAATATTTATTCCTGGTGTGTGCGTGCGTGTGTGCGCGTTTGTATGTGCGTGCGCGTATAGAGAGAGAGGGATCTGAACATATATGAATATAGAAATAGAATATAAGGTCACTTTTAAGGTGTCCATTTTTTTATTTGGTATAGATTTCGAGAATATGTGTCCTTCGTCAGGTTTCACAACAACAAAATTGAACAAATCAACGCAATCAAGAAATGTAGTCTGTATATCTTTCAATGACTACTAATTTCCGGTAGTTCCTAAATTTATTATGTCAGTGTAATATTGCATTTTTCCGTTTTATGAAATTACTAAAGAATAATACAATGCATGCGCTTACGTGCGCATACGGTGGGCTTGCGTGCGCGCGTGAGTGTGTGTTTGTTAAGCGGAAAGCACACTTCACCATTTTCGTTGCTCGTACAGGCAATTTTCGCGGTCGCCACAAAAATGGCCAAGTGTGCGGGGCCGGCAACGACCACTCACCACGGAAATTTAGTGGTGACCACGAGTTTGATTTCTCGCCACGAAAATTGCTCGTGGTGGCAACTTGTGGTGAAGTGTGCTGTGACGCGGCAACGGCCACAAAAATTGCCGACCACGAAAATTGCCTGTACGAGCAACGAAAATGGTGAAGTGTGCTGCTAGCTTAAGAGTGAGCAGAACTGCTAAAAAGAAAATGTCCGTTTACGTTGTGTATTACACCTATATTTACACTAGTAGTAATTTATTTTATTAGTAAGTTGTTAGACGGTTTTTGATACTTTTCTAAAACATAAAAAAACAACAAGTTCTTTCCATAAAAATAATATGATACAACTACAAATCTATTTCAATAAATGCTCTTTACACAAATCTTCGACTGCCAACAACCAGCATAAACCTGTATTATATACAGCAACAATAAATCCCAAAAAAGCTATACAATTTCCGCAACCAGAAAACAGTTTCTTAGTACATACCCCACATGTACGAAATATGTCTGGTTTGAATCCATTTTAGAACGCTAACCTATTGCCACATAAAGTGCTAATAGTCAAACAAAATGTAACGAAATGTAGGTTTGCCAATTGAATTTAGGTCTTTCACATGTATAACATACCATTTTGCCCAAAGCAATGCACAACATTATTGTATAAACCACTAGCTTATATGTTTGCAGGTTACAGATTAAAAAATTTTCAATTTAAAAAGCTAATTGAAACGGTTAAAAATTTATATTGATATTTATCTAAATACCTTTTACAATTTGGTGCAGTAACGTTGCAAGAGCAATTTGATCTCGTCTGCAAAGAAACTGCACAAAATGAAGGGCATCTTTTTGCCAGAACATGGCAAACATTTTGGTTTTTTTAATTTTATTATAGCACCTGATACAAAACTAACACCTTTAAATTCCAATACTGGTTTATCATGTACCACAACGCACAGTTCCAAACAACCGTTCGCTTATACTGGGGTGTTTGGTTCCAAAATCTACGTTGATGTGCCCGAGAATCTTCAAGACACCAACAGTTATATAGGCTACATGGACGGCAATAACATGATCTAGCGTTATTTACGGAAATATATTGTTTGCGCAGCAAAGAAAATAAGGCACAGTTGTTTTTACCCGCAGTCACGTAAACACGTTACGTGCATATTTTTCAACGCAGCATCCTATTTATAAACCACACTGTATACGGTTACACTATTACCAGGAGTAAGATAATATAGATCTATATTATCTTACTCCTGCTATTACCATGCACTCAGGTATAGCGAAAGCTACACATTGCGCTGTGAAGATTTTGCAAAACATACAGTACCAGAGCAGAGATGAGAATGTCTCAAGGAAAAGAAAACTGAAAATACTGACCGTCGAATGTGAGTGCGGAAGGCACTCATGACAAACGCACCAGGCGTTTTCTGGGGAGGGCACTAGAGGAGGGTACTTCCCCTTCAATTACCCCTACAAGAAAATCGTGGAAAATAGATGCTCTGTGGTGCAATATGTTGTGATAGCGCTCGTAATGCGACACCGATGATCAGAACAGAAAATCTAAGAGCCAAAACAAGAGACCAGACTGGCTAAAGCACCCCCCCCCTCCACCCACACACACACACAAATTTTCTCCTCGAATTTACTCCCCTACACCAAAAATCGCGGATCCACGGAAAATTCTCATCCCTGCAAAGGCAATATAGATACGATTTGCCACAGCTCACACATGTAACGGAGCATACATTAGCCTCCATGTACATTTTCCTATAAAAAACATGTTGAAGTAAAATAACGGTGAACGATTCCTCGTTTACGCAGCACCACCCGAAAAGAAATCTACCTGCATCATGATGGATGTTGTGGTACAAACATTCACATCTCTAAGGCACAAATGTGGACGATCTCTTAGAATGGGTAGGACTGTCATGGCTTTACAATCGAATGTTAAATAAATACTACATAATGAACAATCTACCTCACCATCTTTGCCCGCTTGCCTTTCAATGATTGTATTTTACATAGGTTTCCCATTTAAATCGGTTACAAAAGAAATTTGAGACGACACTTTTATCGCGTCGTGTCTACTACCTAAGGTGTGTCAAACAATTTATACCCACTGCTTACTTTCGTTTTACACTTTTCCTCTTACGCTACAGGCGTACATGAATGCAAGCGATTGCTCACAATTAAAATACACACATTATTCAACAATATACAAGCAAGTCATAGGAGGGGGTCGGATATACAAAATGCGCAGTGTGCACCTGCGAAAGGGTGTTCGGTGCTCTTTCGACTAGGTCAATTTCTTACAGTATTATACCTAGCTGAACAAAAGGAAATAGTAATACAGCGTAGCTTACACTATATATCAGATTATAGTTGTTCCAGGCATCCAATACAAAAGTTGTCACTTAGAGCAAATCAGGACTGCACTTGACCAAACGTGTATATACCTGGAAACGCTCGCAGGACGAAATGCACCCAGGGCAAAAAATAGTGGATACAATTTTCATACCTACTAGATAGTTTTAGCACAAAACAGTAACCATGAAAATGCTACTATGCTATACACTCACACCTAGTAGAAGGCACAAAGTGATAAAAACTCAAGTGCAATGTTGGAAATAGTAGCCTGTCCTCTTATATTTGATTGACTGACTAATTTTTATGGATTTTACTGTAGGTTATAGTTGAAATTTAAATTTACGAAATCGGGACTGGCTGGGTTCTCATACTTATTTCCAAGACTGCTTAGAGGTGACAATCAAAACGATGTTAAGAAAATTCTATACAGCACTACTATTAATTAAGCTGCCCTACAATTTGCATATTCAAATTAACCTGCAATATTACCCTTACAACTGGCTCAACTCGCAGGAGATAGTAAAAAATAAACGCAACCTCGACGGGATTCATTTCATTATTACAAAATATAGTTAACTTTTTTTTTGAATTTTGTACAAGTTTTTAAAGCTTTTCAAAAAAATAATAAATAAATTCAGATTATCAATCATTGTTGGTCAGACGATAGTCGGCTATATATGACAACCGGCAGTGCATCCTAATTGCATAAATACAAAAGCATGGCATAATTAAATGCAAATACTCTGCTTTGCCACCTACTATAAAAGTAGAATAAAGTTCAATCAAGTCATTTCTGATAGTTACCTTCGTCTCTCGCTCACAAACAGAAGAAAATAGCGCAGTTATGCATCTAGCATTACTTCATGACACTTGCCATCAGATGGCACTACTGATTACTACTCTCATGAGTGTAACTCCAACACTGAAGAAATATCACAAGCACTAGGTCACTCGCTGACCGATCGCCACCACGTTGCCACGCAGGCGCAAAAAAGAACACACACACGTCTGCATTCTGTTTCGACTTCGCTGCAACACCTCAGCTGCCAACAACAACTACATCCCCTATACATACACTGGGTTCTGCGAGTCTTGCCTATCTCCTCCCTGCGCGCCGTTCTCCCCGAAGTCACTGCCCAGCTCCTCGAGGCCGGGCTGCTCGAGTATCGTCGCCGACATCGGGAACAGCAGGTGTCCGCCATCGTCGAAGAAGCGCCGGAACGTGAACTCGATGAACGCGTGCTCGGGATACTTGCCGTTCTCGTGGTTCCAGTCGCTGTTCGCCTTCTTCTTCTCCTTCTCGTCGCCGGAGTTCGAGTCGCTGTGCCGCAGCCGGTCGGGGTCGACGGGATCAAAGTTGGAAGTGTCCGTCGAGTGTCGGATTGTCGGGATGTAGGGCGCCGCCTGCCGGCGCAGCCCCGTCGACCAATCGATCTCCGAGAAGAAAGGATGCGATTTGATCCCGTCGCCGTCGCCCTCGCGACCAATCCGCTCGTCGGGACTTGTGAGCAGCCGGTAGATGATGTCCTCGGCAGCCGCCGATATGCTCGCCTCTTTGGGTATGTGCAACGAGTGCTGCCAGTTTATCACCTGTGTTGCGAGGAGAGAGCGAAAACTCGTGTCGGTCTCGTCCGAACAGTGAAGTGCAAGAATCGATACGATTCCGAGCACTAGTTATGTAATCAGTGATGTCGATCTCGAGAAATAAGGCTTTAAAAAGGTATTAGGTCCGCGATCACCCCTCACCCGGTTTGGCCAGAAATGATTATGGATGCAGCATTTTAAACGCCTACTTACAGAATCAATTTTTTGGCCACTATACTCAGGTATCATTTTTCAGCTACAAAAACGCTGGCTGCTGTATCGTACACAGCTGCCACCCTCATGATAATTGTGCGCATCTCCCTCTCTCTCTCTCTCTCTCTCTCTCTCTCTCTCTCTCTCTCTCTTTTATAAACGTAGATATCTCCAATATTTTCCTCTCAGAATTACGACAATAACCACAAAATTTTTGCTATTTAATAATACTGATAATTAAGCTAGTTATGCATCCTTATCTTCATTATCAATCACTCTACTTTTCTTTTAAGTATCATGAATAAAGAATTAATCGGAATAATATCAGGGATGGATAATGACAAAACAAAACACTTTAATTTCAGCATAATCTTGTTTAGGTGGCCGCTGTTTAAACCTACCTTCTGTTGAGTTTCCGCAGGTGTGTTTGCATGGAAGGGCGGCTGGCCTACAACCATCTCATACAGAATCACTCCTACACTCCACCAGTCACACAACTGAGTATAGCCTAAGATAAATAGAACATCATGTAAAATATTGCACAAATTACCCCATACAATGTATGCAGACAAGCAGACCTCATCAATATTTAAACTCCATGAATCCTACTAAAAAAGATCTACATCTGAGGAACTGTACGACGCTGCTGCTGCTACTGCTACGGCTACTACAAACTGGCACCATTGCTATCAACCAGTATTCATTTATATGCTATGGACATTACTAGATGCTAGTTTCTCTTGTATTACCTATACACAAACCAGTGCACTTGGAACTCACCCATTCGCAGGAGCACTTCAGGTGCAATGTAGTTAGGAGTTCCGACAAGCGAGTGTGCGAGGCACCGTAGGTGTTGACGCCTGCGGCGTCTCTCCAAGGGTTTCTCCGACTTTAAGCCGCTGCTGCTGCCGATACACTTGCAGTTGTTCCCGATTTCCCAGTTCTCATCCGGGTCCATTGAATCCTGTCTGTTGTGGTTTCCTGCAATTGTATAACTGGATATAACGGACTAGACAAAAAACTAGTGGTAAACCCTGGAGTGAGCTTTGTTCCCCAATAATTATTTTCAGGATAAAAATATGTCTATACCAATATTAATCTAATGCTAATGATAACCAATGGTCAATAAGCCATGAATTTTAGGTAGTGAAATGGCAATACCTTTCTGGTAGTATTTAGAGTTGTGTGTCCAGCGAAAGCCAGTACACAGCCCGAAATCGGTCAGTTTAATGTGGCCCTCTCGATCCACAAGGATGTTGTCAGGTTTGATATCCCGATGGATAAAACCCATGCGATGAACACTCTCGATAGCACAAACTAATTCAGCAATGTAGAACCTAACAAAGGGAATGCACAAGAAAAGACTTATTAAAACTGCATTCCCCTGATGAAAGGCTATTAAAATGTTTGTACATACACTACTAGTTCTTGATAACTGCAGAAAAAAAAAAAGCCACGTTTAGTACAAACAAGACTTGTGAATTAATGAATATAGTTCGCAACATGTAAACAAACACCCATGTCTATTATTAATTTTATTCCAAAAGTTACTTGAGTGCACACAGATGGCACAGCAAAAGCATCATCAGGGCTTATATTAGTGCATGCTCGGTAGTCTCTGCTAATACTATGTGCAACAATAAAATAAAAAGGTTTTTGATAATTTAATAGTAAAGTGACATTCAGAAAATAATAATCACTTCAACAAACTTACTTTAATTAATATATTTTGGAACAATGATACGAATTTCGGCTTATGTATGTACTATTTTGCGATGCCCTAACGACATACAGATATTATATAGACAAAGTAGTTGTTGAGTCACCCTGGAATCTCTGTGAATATATTACTCCGCACAAAAGCGTGGGGTGCTTTTCCCGATGTACACATCGGAATGCCATGCAACTTTTGTGTTGAGCCTATCTAATCAAAATATTTTTATTCACAAAATTCTTACATACACCCTACATTAAACTTACTAATGCGAGATTTTTCATTCAGAAAAACTCAATATAGCTGAATATAGTCTCACCTGACAGCGGAAATATCACTGATTACTCATATTTATGCAGTTATAGCATAGAAAAATGGATTTGACCACATCATACCAGCAATAAATTTTATCATATGCCGACTCTCAAAATCACAAATGGCACCTTCAAACCAAGTGCATAATTAAAACAAAAGGGCGTGCAATTCTGTGTGGTAAATATTATTGAGTTTTTATGTCAATAATTCAGAGCACTTTCTGTCATTGTCATTCCCGTGTTACTATCTGACTGGTAATCCACAAGCATCTCTAATAACAGACTTTACAGGGCATTAGTACTACACTCCTGTTATGCTAGTATGAACGTCTGTGTTTACACTCTGACCTGATTTCTGCAGTGCGACTATATGCATTACTGCACCGTGATAGATGTCTCGCGCTACCGCGAGAAAGTCCGAGAGATGGCAACGGTAAACATAAATAAAACGCAAAATTGTAATCGTGCATGATTTGGTGAATACGAAAGTTCTAAGACATTTTATCGTTACTCTAGACAATTGCTGTTACTCAAGCAATAACGGTAGGTATCATGAAAGTAGGGAAAACACTGGAAAACTCTCGCAATAGTTACTTTAAGTTGATAAAGTGATTGTTTTCGGGGGGAAGCCACTTTACAGCTAACAAATAAACTTAATCCAGTACAGTAAATAACGAATGTTCCACATGTCAAAATTTGTTAGCCTGTTTTTCCAAGTATGCATACCAATTTAAACTAGGAATAAACAAATCCCTACATTTCCCTACAAGTCTAATGTGTGCCCACTTTACTTATTATGAGATGAAAATATGCACAGAAAGTGCCATGAAGAATTTAAATGAGTGCAAACCACTACAACGAACCTAGCCAGTGGCTCCTGGAAGATCTGGAATTTGATGAGCAGAGACATCATGTCACCTCCTGGAATGTACTCCATCACAAAGTAAAGGTTATCTTTGTTCTGAAACAAAACCAGTAAGCAATAGTATAACTTCACATATTGGTATAATATCAACAGCATATATACATGAATTTTTTATTTTTAACTCGACTTTTTTTTACTTGTTTGTAGATCACGGTCGGTCAACACCTACCTGGAAGGAGTAATAAAGCTTCACCACCCACTCGTTGTCAGCCTCGGCCAGTATATCTCGCTCTGCCTTCACATGAGCCACCTGGTTGCGACGCAGAACGTCGGACTTTCGCAGTGTCTTCATAGCGTAGAGCTGTCCGGAGTCGATCTTGCGTACGAGGGCCACCTCGCCAAATGCCCCGATGCCAAGCGTCTTGAGTTTTTTGAACATCGACTTGTCCATTTTGGCACGCTTTAGTCGCATGTAGTTGGATTCTTTCTGTTGAAGCAATCTACGTATCTCGCACTGTGCCTCTTCTGACAAACCGACCTGGAACAAACATACAGACTTAGCCAAAAACTACACAAGTAAACAATAATCTAGTGATGTATGTAACTGCATTGCCAATAAAACGTAACTGGACACTGTTGAAGCAGACTGGCAATTATCTGAAAATAACCGACTTCTTTATTGGTTAGGGTACTTAGTAGTTTGTTTTTCTCTTATAATAAAAAAATAGCATCTAGGGACAAGTTTCCACCTAAGTATTTAATGCATGTCACATCTGACATGCCTTCAAAGCTGAACCTAATTTTGCGACGTCTCATGAATCCTTTCACATTCCTTATTGCCAAATTGATATCCCTTGAAGCAATTTTTAACATTTATGTTCCTGTCTTTTCAACATTTTCCTGTCTAAAAATTATAGACCTTTTTTTAAAATTCATGTACTCTGCCCTTTTCCCATCTGTCCATAAATAACAACTCTTCTGAAATTCCTGGCGAGAACCCCGATGGAAATGGAGAATGACTCACAGACCTGCAAGTGGGCTGAGCAAATAGCACAAACAATACTAATAGTATACATGTACATGCACTATATATACGTATATGTTATAACACTTGCCTTGTCCATCTCCTTCTCTAGCTGTCGTCTGCGTTCAACACGCTGCTGATAAATCTTCATTAGGTTCTCCACATGCTGTTCCATGTAGAACTTGTACGCCTGTGGTGAATAGTTCTTCACTATCACCGACTCTCTGCTCTGCTCCTCCTCCTCCGCCTCCTCCGCCTCCGCACTCTCATTATCGTCAATGCTTGGCTTCTTTTTACGCCTCTCGGGCACGGGCGAGCTATGCCTGTGGGGATACGGGGGAGGAGGATTGCGTATGTCGGCGTAGTCGGAGTTCGTAGACGGCGACGACGTCGTGGACAGTGGCGAGTGGCTGGCCGAGTACGGCGAATCCGATAGGAAGTCCGTCGACACCGTTATCGCGTTCGTGTGGTCAGAGTTGGAGCTACGCGTCGAGCAAACGCTCGGCGGACAGTTGCCGGCCGCGTAGGCGGCGGCCTGTCCGATGCTCACGCTCTGCAATTCGTTCGTGAGTGGTGACATGATGTGCGCCTGCACCATAGTCGTGTAGCAGGGTGGTTCCGTGATTGGCACAACGGCATTGTAAGCTAGCCTGTTCTGATTCGCCACGCTTTCGTCGTAGCTCGGCGGGTCCGTGGCCGGTACGCACACGTTGCTCTGTGGGTACACAAAGCCCGGCGTTGACGTCGGCTGACTGTAACTAGGTGGAGCACTTACACGCACGGGATATGCAGGAGGATCGGTCCTCTTGACATTGGCATGATTAGAAGGGTAACTTGGTGGGTTGGTGGTTGGCACAGAATTTGGATTCACTGGGACGACAGCAGTCTGCAGTGCCGGCTTCGGTACATGGGTGCTCTTGGACTGCATAATCGGAGCTTTAGCTTGCCTCGCGGTCCACGCTTGGGCTGGTGCAGGTCCCACTGCCGCAGGAGCCACCGCATGTCGACTACCTGGGGCTAAGGAGGACACAGCCTGCTTGCCAGCACTCGTCTCACTAAGCACTGCCATTCTCTGCAAGATGCTCGGCGTGTCTGAGTGCTGACAGTGCTGGCTTGTCAGTGATGAGGTAGATGCTGCACCAGACGAGCTGTTTGTAGACACGTTGAATGACGCTATCTGGCACGGCCGCCGCGCATACGATGGTGTGTCAATATGCATGTTTGCTAAATAAGCCGGAGGGGGCGTTGTACGCTTATTTATCACACTCTGCTTCTGACCCATCTGCACTGTACAGAGCGTCGACTCGCCGCACAGCTGCAGAGAGACGCTATGCCCTGCATTTATCACAATGTTTCTGTTAGGCGGCACAGGGCTCACGCCACGCTGTGGAGTAGAACACTGCGACGACGACGAGCCAGCGTAGCCGTAGATGCCGCCGGCCGGCACGGGCGAGATGCGCCTGCCCACCTGGGGCAGCGCCACCTGTGCACGCAGATCCAGCTGCGGCGACGGCGAGTCCCGGGAAGCGGCCGCCACGCACTGCGCCGCCGGCGGCGGCGTGTGGTGTCCGTTCGCATTTTGCAAGTGCTGCCTGCTGGTGTGCACGACACTGGGCTGACTGCCGGTGATGTGCGAGCGAGTACCCGGCTCGCTCGCCGGCACTTGCACGTAGAGCAGAGACCGGTCGCTGGTGCTCGACGAAGGAGTGCAGCTGATGGTCACGCTGGGGCTGTCGGAGCGTGAGCTACTCGCTGTCTCCAGCTGTGGGCTTGCTCTCTGCACGTTCACCACCAGATCACGCCGCCCCTCAAAGCTCGGGTTGCGCAATACCTTCGCGGTCACACCTAGCATAACGAATGGAAATTTAGGTGCATGCAGGGAAAAAAATATAATTGATTTTTCGGGGGCTACTTTTCAAGCTCGTGTGCATGAAAATAGCACTCTAAAATTTGGTTTGTGTTGAACTCTATGCAAATTTACGGGGGCTCTTTTTGGAATTTCCGGGGCTCTTTTTGGCATTTCGGGGGCTAAATCGCCCCGAGCCCCCGTGTATTTTTCTCACTGGGTGCATGCCCATCTGATGGATTTCAAAACAGTCGTTCTTTGTGGCACACGCAACATTTTAGTGGGTAGAGTACGTTCAAAGGTACTGAACGTGAATGAATGACTAGAATGTTATCAAAAGACAATAAATATTACAGTGATGATTTGAAACAAGTCTTCGTAAACGTTCAGTGACCTCCATATATATATATTATATTTATCCGACCATTGCAACACTCACTGGTATTGCCCGTGTAACAACAAGCATCTACAGCAAGGCTGATATGCTTTAGAACACGCGTACATATCGTTACTTTCACCAAAGCATGCAATGATTGACTTTTGTATGTTGTCACTTGTTTCTCGCGAGACCCTGTTCCTATACTTTGTTAATGGTAATTTACATAAAGTAATAGATATTAAACTGTACCAGGCCAGAACCAGTAAGTCACTCAATGAGATGCACTTTTGTCTGGTGGTCGACAATTTCAAGGGAATTATCGTGACACAAAAGAATGTGGCTGCACTATTTACTATTTTCTATACCATGCCAGCACAAATATATATATGGTAATTTTATACTAGAGTAATCAGTAACATGATTGCTAACAGGTGAGACCTTATTTATCCATATTATTCTATTTTTTGATTTCATAGATAACAAATTTATTAATGTTAACTACCTGTTTTAACCTTTTTTTTGCTTATAGTTATAGTTATAGATGCTAATGTTATATAACATCAATAAACATTCACCCCGTTTCCAGAATCTGAGCCAATTTTTCAGATTTTTTTAAATATCAAAAACATTCATTCATAAGCAAAGTCTGCATGAAAGCATGCATACATGCAATTGTGCAGTACCTGGCGTTCTTCGCAGGACGCCATTAGGTGGATCGGTGTTTTCATAGCGATTCACAAATTCAAAGTCTCCTTCCACTCTTCTGATTCCCTTGCCTGGGTGGTCCTACAATGATATGGATTATAATATTTCAATTAAAAATAAAAGTGACAAAATTTATAACAGTAAAAACAAAACTAAATATTTTACCAAATATTTTAATGAGAAACTCTGTAAAACTATACAGTATAATAAATTCCTCATCACTGTTAGAAGTTGTTTCTGCAGAGACATCCCAATATAAGTAATAAAATTTTGCCACAATCTTAAAGTTAAAGATATACATACATACATGTGATGATTTATCTTTGTTTATCTACAGTTGTATTACCTTTGAAGTATAATAATACTTGATTTTATTCCTGATAATTTCAAATTATAGACATAATTGCACTGGTCTGTACTTTGAGCTTATTATAATTAGCTGCTATAATTTTGCTGTTGAGCTTTTTAAATCCATAGTTTCTTGTATCACATGTACATAATTCTTCTTGTATCACAAGGTGGTAAAACTTTGATTGCAAGCCATTCCAATTTCTAAAATCTGCTCAAAAAGTTCCAATCAATACCATGATAGGAAGTGCAACCTAAACATATACTATCGACGTACATTATAGAAACGATTGCCATCTGTATATCGCAATAATAATTTATAAACCAAAATGAATCACAATTTGTAACCGTAGATGGCGCTATACCCGCTTTGTAGCGATGGTGTTTCAAATAAATAGGTTATGCTGCGTTCCGACATGTTTTGTAAATCTTTACTCTAATATAGACGTCTTATCGGCAGGGTGGAGAGTAAATACCAATTTTGCATTAACGATAGTGTCAATGAAATCTTGTAAAACGAACCAGACGAGTGTGACACCACAGACTGTTTGTGTCTATATAATATGCTATATAATTGCCAAACCCTACCTAATTTGCATAATTTTTTTTTAAATATCACAACCCCTAGCCCTTATTCATTCACATACCAAAAATGAGCAAAATCCGTTGACTAATGGCAATTCCCATTTTGCCAAAAAATTGCCGTGGCTCGAAAATACGTCGACTGGCGTGCTTCAAAATAGGACGTTTAATATGGGAGCATAGCAGTAACAACTATACCCAATTTCAAACATGTGGGCCAAACGGTTCCTGAGTTATCGTTGACCGAAGCGAAATGTTGACGGACGGACGGACGGACTGACGGACGTACGACGGACGACGACCCATGGCAATAGCTCAGCTTGACGATGTCAAGGTGAGCTAAAAATTGTAGCCTATTATAGGTACACAGCTATATGAGTGGCACTAGCATATATATAAGCACTTAAATACTTTGTTTTAACAGCTTACAAACAAAATTTTTGACTGTCTTGATGTCTTGAGGGACAAAAAGTCACGACACAGCTACTCCTCTTTGCACATTGATCAGTAAAAAGTACTGCATTTCATGATGTGATGGAAAAGGTAGGTCAGCACTATAAGTATAAGTTTTTCACTCGGTCCATCAATCATGTCTTCCAAAAAGTTAATGTCCTTGGACACAATGTTCTTTCAACTATGCCATTAAAACTATTGACAAGGTAATGACTTTTCTCACAATGACTCTCTGTATATATATCAAATATCAAGAGCATAGGTCAGGTCATTTACATTTGTGCCAGAATTCTGCATTTTTTCTATACCAGTCACCTTCAGGTCAGGATAATATCGCATTCTTCAGATCAGACAGTGAAATAAACACAATATGATATTTAAATTTAATTATAGCAACCACTGCTTTATTTAGCCTTGGATAAGCGGACTCATCGTTTAAACAGCTTTTTTTACACAGTTAAATGCATTTCAATCAAATATAGGGGAACAAGACCTAGACTTTGTTTTACAGAATTATTAAAAGTACCATATATATATATATAGCCTAGGTGTACAATGTGGAAAAATAACACATCAAAGTGCAACTCAATATTACAGGCAGCAGGAAATGGTGGTAGCCACTTTAAAAAAATTTAAAATCAACAAATTTCAATCAAAAATGAGTATGTACCATAATTTCAATCCTTAATTACCTGAAAATAGAGAGAGAGAGAGAGAGAGAGAGAGAGAGAGGGGGACAGAGAGATGGAGATGGAAAGGGAGATGGAAAGGGAGAGAGAGCTCTAGGGAAAGAGGGCAAGGGAGAGAGACAGATACAGACCGCGAGAGAGAGAGAGAGAGAGAGAGAGAAAGAGAGAGAGAGAGAGAGAGAGAGAGAGAGAGAGAGAGAGAGAGGGGGACAGAGAGATGGAGATGGAAAGGGAGATGGAAAGGGAGAGAGAGCTCTAGGGAAAGAGGGCAAGGGAGAGAGACAGATACAGACCGCGAGAGAGAGAGAGAGAGAGAGAGAGAGAGAGAGAGAGAGAGAGAGAGAGAGAGAGAGAGAGAGAGAGAGAGGAGTCATGTTAGTCTAGTATTTATGCAAACATGCTGGGTGAATAATCTTTGAAATATGTCATGAAACAACATGCTAGCACTATTATGTCCAATATTCCTCATTCACATACCATGTAGATGTACACATGATATGACGAAAGTCAGAGCCGGCCCTATTCTGATAAGAGGATTCAAGGAAGCGAACAGCACTGACCTCGTATTTTGCCACTAGAATATTTGGTATATGCATGATATGTTCACAAAATACACCCATGACACATGCACAATGTACATACCTGCTCAAACCCATGGCTGTAGTGCTGGTGTTGAGTAGCAGGAAGCTCCGAGTTAGAGAATGCACAGCTGTCGTGTACCTTGTGGGTAGTGAGCGGTATGGGTCCATTTTCGTATGGCAACAGGCTACTTTTAATCTGCGCGAGCGCCTGCTGGTGGTAACCACTGCTGCTGCTCGCACTCTTAGGCACACTAACTCGGCCATCCTGTGGCAGCGCGACACCAGACTTTATTTGAATCAACTCCAACCGTTCGCTCGTGCCATTCGGTGATGGCAACACCCTGCGAGCAGGACTGTCTGCCAGCTCTTGTGCTGGAGCCTGCCTGCTACTGCCTGGATACGCAGGCGGCGGTTTTTGTCCTCGCCAGACGTTTCGCTCAACCTCGCGACGAATCATGTGTTACCCTCTGACTTTGCATCAGTACGACATGCATGCCAAGTCCTGCACTTTTCTTCTTTATTCTGCATCTATGCTGCTAAAGGCGTATACATTCTCCACAGCAAAGCGCATTGGTTCAGCTCCGGAGCAAGCGCAAAAGCTGCTTTCAGCAATAAACACCCTGAAACATTGACAACCTTGTTAATACACATTGTTATAATGAATAGAAAATCTAGAATTCCAAACTTGCTAAATTACATTATAAGCAGATTACAAATTATTCTGTTACTTTTTAAAGATTTTTTTTTTACAAATAAATATAATATATATATATATAAATATATAATAATAAATAAATATATATATACTTTGTTCATTGCCAAATGCTATTTGGATGCAAATCACTTGGCACACAAAAATTTAGCTATAAATCATTAGCGAGCAATTAATAATATAGGCACAACAATACACAGCATGATAGAATATAGATAAATAAGAATCATATATATTCCTTTAATATTTGCAGGGTTTTTTGCCATTATTTGTGGGTAGACACCTTTCATAATCCCATGAACCCCTGAAAAATTTGTCACAAAAATTGGTTATTTACCTTTTATATTTATTTGAGCCAATTCTACTCTATATTTCAAACAATTTCTTCAAAATAAGGTCCATAATGCAACCAGCAATCACTAAATAAAACACATTTCTCTGGCCTGAGAATTCTTATATAGACTACACCTTTTAAAGCAAGGTTTTTTCCCAATCATATTATTTTCTCGACAGTTTCGATACTAACCAGTACTCCTTGCCTAACACCAAACTTGTGTATGTAGCAAGGCTAACATGTCATAGAACATCAGCACATCATTCTTTTCACCAACATGTGAACTGACCTGCATTTAAATTTTTTTATTTTTTTACATAATTATGTCAACATCCCTAGCGTGTGATTCTCGCTCGTGGAATGCCATCGACTGGCACCCTGTATCTACACTATATTACTTTTTTCTAAATATCGAGATAGGTACCAGTTTATAAAAATTTATGTCACGTAACTACGTGCACTTGTTTTGTGGCAGTTTGCATTTTTTCTTTTTGCAAATCGCAAGAATGCAGAACGAGTTTGCTGTCAATTACTGTTTTATAGCTTAATAATGTCGCACAATTATCCATATCTGAAATAACATAAATATAATATTTGACTTGTTCTGTAGTAAAGGAATACTACACCCTAGAATTTTAGGGTATATTATGATAGTAAGTGCGTAAATAATAGTACCTACAAATTTCTATAATCACGCATTCACATTTGTCATATTAAATAACAGTGAGTTTTGAAATCTTTATTTTTGGCCGCTGCCATGACTCCCCGCGATTGTGTTTCCACCCTAACGAAATTGCGCCTTTTCCTATTTATTTTGCACGTTACAGACCGAGGACTAATCACAAAAGTGCAAGATTTTATATTCCTACCCAACTGTTATTTAACCAAACCATTCTTATTTTAGGACAAATTCATCCATATTATAACTGAATCTGAAAGTTGTATACAAGACATTTCAATCCTTCTCCTCTTTAATTAATAAAAAAGAAATACACTTAGTGTGTAGCCTGCAGCCAAAAAGTCGAGATGCGCAACTTTGAAAAGGCTAGTAGTGGCACCACCATCGTAAGTAACGATACAGTCGTTAGTTCAAAAACATTTTCAAAATTTAGACCTATGTTAACTGAAAATGTGCAAGGAACCCTAGGGTCATGTATCCCTTTAACTTTTCAATGTAACCTATAGTGCAGGGTGAAAAACTGATAATTGGAGGCACTGGTCTAGCAGGACCAGTACCTCTGAGGAAGTACTGGTCCTGGTCAGTAGGCACTGGTCCAGGATTTCTGTCATAGCAAAGGGAATGACTCGGATGTGGGGACGTTTTTATAGGGGGGGGGGATGGTGCAATTTGGTGATGTGCATTCTAAGGTATTCTTAAAAATTATATTTTTTACTCGTTTCGA